ATATTCTGAAATAGGTTAAATCTTATATAAATATTACTTTGTGCAATATTGTTGTGTAGTTAAATGCATATTAGCAAAGTATAGAGGTCACTGTGTAAACAGATAGAAAAGTAACCATCAGCAAATACTGCAGTGATTAGTTAGAATCTGTATTATTCCTTATATATATGTATATGTATGTATTCTCTGTTACAAAGGATGAAGACAAATAGGGATACATTTCAATGTAAACCATTTATGAATTGGAAGTGATGTTGGCTTTAGTTATCTTTGTAAATAAGGTAATTAGAATGGTATGAAAGGTAATGTGATTATTGCAGGGGTGTTTTTAAATCTTGGGTATAAATTCTAGGGTAAATTCCAGTTTATCAATACTAGTTTTTAACAGGACCTGCCTTTGAGGGTGTTTTTTTGTCGTTTTGTTGGGGAGGGGTTTAATCACAAAGTGTGTGGGTTTGGGTTACTTCTTGTTTTTATTTTTCTGTCCAGAAGAGCTTTACCAGGCTGTGCAAAGTAAAATTCTTCTCAGGCAACATTTGCTTTTTAAAATAATCATGAAGAGAAGGCTGTTAAAGCAAAAAAAAAAATTTTTTTTTAAATTTTTTCTTGTCTTCCAAGATCCGATTTCCCCATCTCCCACTTGCCATCCAGCAGATGCCATCTGTCATCCAAGCTGGTCATTGCTAATAAACAAGGAGACTGTCTCCTGACAGCCAGCACTGTGTATTATCACTCAGGAACCAGCGGATCTGCAAAGACCTACAATCAAAAGCAAATCCCCATTTTCCTTTTATAAAACATTCTACCCTCACCTCCAATATAAACACATTAAGAGTACAATAAAAATGTTTAAAATCATGTACTAATAAATTCATTGTATGTTAGAATTGCAATAGAATGGAGAGAAACATTTAGCTAGTAATGTATCTGAAAACTGAATGTCCTATGTGAGTATTAGATTTTAATAGCATGCTTTAAAGACTGATGAATATAAAAGCAGAAGTTTTGCGTTTTTTACTGCTTTCAAAGCTGTATCCTAGTTTAGTGATACAAATGATTGCAATTTTTCTAAATCATTAAATTATTTGGTTTGGTGGAGTGAGGCATGGAGCAATCTGGCGTCTTCTGATTTGTTAAAGTAGTGATGGGAGTGAAGTTGTAACTGAAATTTAAGCTGATCTTCCTTTTTGATATATTATCCGTTGTGCCAGCTCTTGAGATTACTTGCACAATGTGGCTATAAGTTTTAATATTTTGTGGAGCAGAGGGATGGTTTTTAAATGTGCTTATGGAAAGGACCCAATAAATGAATATTCCTAACTTAGTAAAGTAGAATAATTTCATGGTACCCATTAAAAAGGATAAAAGTCTTCCTCTTGCCCCAGAAGTAATTCTTGATACCAAGATATGCTAGGAGTAGGATGATTCAAAGCGGTAACCCAAGTTCATAAAGCAATAATAATGAAAACCTACATAGTATGTTCCCTCCTCCAAAGTTTTAACTCTAAAAATTGATTCCTAGGTTTAATTGTACTTTTAATTTGCTTATTCAGTACTTAGAATTTGTTTAACTGGTACTTTTATTATTTTTTAGTGAAAGACTTTTGAAAAGTGCCCTTTCCCCTTAAGAGACAGTTGGAATACCAGTTGACTGATATTATAAGCTCTTATGGGGGGAAAAAGGAGCTTATTAAAGTTCTTTACTAAACTTTGGGAAAAGATGTCTTGCATCAGTCTTACTAGGCATAAAAGTCACACTTAATGACTGGAAAAAACTTGCTTATTGCCTTTCCTTATATAAATATTGTCTAGAATGAAAGCTAATATAGGAACAAGACTCCCAAATCCATGAAAACCCTTAGTGAATATATTCTTAATCATTAATATTAGCCCATTATATTTTCATCTGTATTTGCCATAAAAAATTTATTTGCATTTATGCCTTTAGGATAATTTTGTATCTTTCTAATCTTTTATCATTGCTACACGTTTTTAAAAAGAACCTTTCACTAGCACATGCCAGAGGTTCACATCTGTGCTGTTTTGTTTTTCAAACAGGTTGTAGCTGTATTTATTGGCCATGCAAGTAGAGGAAATGCACAGTACAAATGTTTTTCTTTAGCACGTAAGGGACCTATCCTTGTCTTGAAAGTTTGTTACTTTAAAAGCAAGTATCTCTCCATAAATATTATGGCCTTCCATTTTCTTCATACATTTTTTAGGATCCACTTGTGCATGTAGTTGAGACCACTGTCTCTTGAAATATAGCACTTTTCAATTCTCTCTGAAGAAATACTTATGTACTACTATCACATGTTGTAAATTTTCATGTAATAGTGTTTTCTGTGACTAAACTCCATTTTGATTGGCAGCTAAGACTTTTTTTCCTGTGGCTTTTATTTATCTAAGAGGTCTTTGCATATAGATGAAATGTATATTTGCCTGGCGGACTATTTGCGTTGTGTGGCCTTAGTTTGTTTATTGACATTAACAAGTGTTTTAAAAAGGTTTTTAATGAATAGTCTTAAATCTAAATTTGTGTGAATAATCCTTTTAACACAGTGCTTTTTTGTAGCTGTCTAAGTGTGTTAAATTGTTAAGCTATTTCTTTGTAAAATAGGACAATGGAATGCATAGTTTTTTTTTTTTTTCCTGTAAAGTATTTTTTTAATAAACAAAGTCTGATTTGTCCTTTACTGGTGTTTCATCACAAAATGCATAGCATATGCGAGTTCTAAATACCTGGAACCTATTTTTAGAGGACGAATCCTTCACCTACTTTATCCCCTACTACTACAAAAAATTTTTTTAGAAAATCTTACGACTTTTCTTTCTAAAGATGTCTGGGGAAAATTCCATCCATATTGAGATGCAATTAGTTTAGGGGAAGAAGAAAAAATCACTTGGCATTTGTTGTAGTTAATGCCTCTTAATTGCTTAAATTAGTGTGTATCTACTTAAAAGGACAGTCTTAAATTTGTATTCTGGTGATGTGGATTTTCTTGAAGTTCATTGAGTATTAATGAAGATGGCGTATAGACTTTTATGTCATTGATGTATTAATGCAACACCACAAAATGGATTTCTTTCCTCATCAGTTTTTGTGTGAACTTACCTTTAATTGAGGTACCTTTCCTAAGCACTGATAGCCTTTGATTCTGATTAGGAAAGGAAAAGAAAGGGACTTCACAGTTTTTGAGTAACTGCCGTGGGCCAGGAAGTTTGTATGAGGGTATCTCATTTAATCCTCACATCCTTAAGAAGGCAACTATCTCCATAGTACAGGTGAGAAAACAGGCTTGTTTGTTGAATAAATTGCCTAAGATCACAGATTATTGGTTGGGAGCAAGGATTCATACCTTGTTCTCTGGTAGCCTTAGGAAGCACTGAATAGTTTCCAACAGGGCACCTGAAAAATGGTTTGCTACTTAACCACTATCCTCTAATACTACTTACCTGATTTAGTTCCTCCACACACTGCCCGGAAAATCTTTTGTGTGCCAAACAATGAAGTAAAGTACTTTTGCTATTAATGTAATTGAGGTTAAATATTTACGTGTGCAAAATTCGACGTTTTTCACTTGTCATTTATCTTTCTTTTTTTTCAAGTTGGTCATTTGTCTTGAAGCCCAACAGAATTGTAATGTTTAGCACTAAGGAAAGGAAAAGCTGTCAAGGATTAAAAGGAAACCACTGCCAATGTGTGCAATGTAAAAAGGATAAAATAATTTTTACTTTATTTGAGACAGGGTCTCTTGCCTAGGCTGAAGTGCAGTGGCGCAATCATAGCTCACTACAGCCTCGAACTCTTGTGCTCAGACGAATCCTCCCGCCTCAGTCTTCGAAGCAGGTGGGACTACAGGTGCGTGCCACCATCTCCGGCTAATTTTTTTTTTTTTTTTTTTTTTTTTTAAGAGATGGAGTCTGGCCATGTTGCTAAGGCTGGTCTCAAATTCCTGAGCTCAAGCGACATTTCCGCCTTGGCCTCCCAAAGCGCCCGGATTGCAGGCGTGAGCCACTGCGCCCAGTCTGGGGGAAATAATTTGTAAAACTTAGTCCTGTGGGAGTTATTTTAGCTTAGTCGATTTTCCTCATCCGTGAAATGGGATAACTTCCACCTGGTACCCACTCAATAGATGATAAGAAATAATGTCTGTAAAACCGCGCCTTTTAGGCTTTCTTAAGTGGAAGCTATCATCTGTCATTAGCTTTCTCTGACCCAGATGCTACACGCTGTGGGCCAGCAAGAACACAGCTTCAAATAAGGTGGGGAGAATGACTAAGGGGACAGTGTTCCATTAATGGCCAAAAAAAAAAAAAAAAAAAAGGAAAGCAGCTTAAAAATCCTTTTAATGTATCCTTAAATATTCACTTTAGGGCTCAACTTTTCTTTCCTTTCTCCTGACCTCTATCGGCCCTAATTAACGTGTTCCCGCCGTCACCTAACTTTACCCTATTTTGGAAAAAGCTGTGACTGCCCAATACTTGTCCCTCTTTTTCCCCTACCTTTGAGCCCCAGAAAGCTCCAGACCCAGAGCTGCTGAGGGGCGGGAGAGGAAGGGAGTCACTAAGCCGCAGCCTGGCCCTTCCTCCCAGGGCAGCGTAAATTCACATAAACATTCATTCATTCACTCAACAAACGCTGGGAACCTAAGTTTCATGTTCGTGCCAGGCCCCAGTCTCTGACCTCATGGAGCCCACAGCCCACTGGGGAACAGAGATTAAGCCATGAAACACGAAGATGAGTGCCACAAAGACATAAGCCGGGAGCTACTAGAGTATCAGGACCGACCTCCTTTAGACCGCTGGATGGGAGAGTCGTTTGTGAGGAAGTGACTTTTAAGCGGAGGGCTGAAGGGTGATCTGAGGGAGCTGCTCTTGGCCACCGATCGCCGCGCGGCTCCCCAGGCCCTTGGACCCGGAGCCTGGACCTAGGCGGGGCGGGAAGGCCCGGGCCAGGGGCGGAGCCACCTCGGCGGCGAAAGCCGGAAAGCGGAAGCCGAAGGCTGCTACCCGGTGGTCGGCTGAGCGGCTCTAGCCCAGCTCTCAGACGGCTGAGTCACTGCCGCCCGGCCCGGCCCGGCCCGGAAAAGACTAGCGCCGCCGCCGCCGCCGCGGCCGCCTCTCGGGCTCCCGGGCTCTCGGGGTCCCGGGCCTTTGCACCTGTCTTTTCCAGCTGGGCACAAAGCCTTTTGCTGTCGCCGTGGCGACTGGCGGCCTAGCGAAGACCTCCTTTACTTTTAATCCCCCTCATTTTCCAGTCCATTTTCTGCTTATTTTCTGGTCAGTCCGTGACCCTCTAGGTGGGCTTGGACCCGCGATCGATTTGCCGCCCTCAGGGCGCTGGGCAGCCCGGCTGCTTCCGAGGTTGGGGCAGCCTCCGCGGTCTCCATGGTAACGGCCTCGCCGGCGTTTCCGCCTAGGTGGGAAGATGCGGCCTGCCCTGCCCGCCGCCTCGCCCCCGGCCTTACGGTGGGACCCCGGGCACTGAGGACGAAGGTCCCGGGCGCCGGCCCGCGGGGCAACGGGCACTAGGTGAGAGCCGGACGCCGGGGAGCGAAGGAGGCGGGTGCCGGGCGACTCCAGCGGCCGCCCCTGCCCCTGCCCCGCACCCAGGAACACGCTCGCCCGAAATATTGCAGAGGCTTCTCCGGTCGCCGCTGCGCCAGTTTTTGTTTGTTTGTTTGTTTGTTGTGTTTTCCCTGGCAAACAGCTGGAGAAAGAGCAGCTCATGGAGAGGCTGAGAGAAGCGGTTTTTGAGTCCTACCCAAATTGGGAGAGTAACCTTCAGCAGCTGGACTCACCGACTGGTTTTCCTTCATTTTCAGTGAAATCCCATTCTCTGGCTGGAGACACAGATGGCCTCAAATGAGAGAGATGCTATATCGTGGTACCAAAAGAAGGTAATACCAATGTATATATTTTTTATTTGTAACGCATTCTTCCTGCAAAAAGCTCTCACAAATAGTATGTTACTTTCCCTTGAGTTTGGTAGTGCCAGGTGTTCATGTATACTTCAACATAAATGGAAAAAAAAAAAAAAAAGATGTACAAGGTCATTATGTTTTTTAAACCCGGTTCCAGGTCCTGGAATAAGGTTTACAGGCCACCTCCCTTCTCCAGGCTGCGTACACAATGCCACCGCAATGCTTTGAAAGTTTGCTTCTGGTCAAACTGCTTAAAAACAAAAAAAGACATGAAACCTTAATCTGCACAGCTCAGATTGATACTATTAACAGTCTTATTGAGCTGTTCCTTATCTTTTATTCCTCTCTAGTTTTTCTATTGCTGTTTTCCTTAATAAGTGGATTTGATTTTTTTTTTTTTTTTTGAGACAGAGTTTCGCTCTCGTTGCCCAGACTGGAGGGCAATGGCGCGATCTCGGCTCACTGCAACATCCGCCTCCCGGGCTCAAGCTGTTCTCCTGCCTCAGCCTCCGGAGTAGCTGGGATCACAGGCGCCCACCACCACGCCTGGCTAATTTTTTGTATTTTTAGTAGAGACGGGGTTTCACCATGTTGTTCAGGCTGGTCTCGAACTGCTGACCTCAGGTGATCCACCCACCTCCACCTCCCAAAGTGCTAGAATTACAGGTGTTAACCACCATGCCCGCCCAAGAAGTGGAAATATCTTTTAAGGTAATATTTAATTTGAAATGTTTTGGGCATTGCTTTTGAATTTACTTTTAGGTCCAGCTATTTTAGATATTTGAAAGAAACAGTCCTTGAAAGTATTAATTTATTCTAACTCCTGAGTAGCACAAACATTTTCCACATAGCATATTGATACTTAATAGGCTCATGACTTTTGTGAGGCTTGACTTAGGTAAGGATTTCCTTTGCATCGTTTAAATACACTACTCCCTCTTTCAGATTGGAGCCTACGATCAGCAGATATGGGAAAAGTCAATCGAACAGTCTCAGATTAAGGTAAATTGGTTTCTTTGATTCTGCCTATGTTTCACTGCATTAATATGAAGAGTGGAATTGTACTTACCTGGTAAACTCTCACTTAACTACCAGTATGGCATTCTTTAATCTTTGAAGGTTATAAGAAAAACAGTGCAAGCATAATGAGAAGTGACACTTGATTTTTGGCCTCACTATCAGGAAAACAGAAAGGGGTGAGTTGGTCTGTGATGAATTAGAGAGCAAATGTCCCATGTAAATAGGGCTGGGTTACTTAGCTCTGGCCAGTTTTTACTACATGGCAGTGCAGGTCCAAATATTGCCAGAGTTTCAGATTTTTCAAGAGAAGCTGGAAATACACATTTTTATATGAAATATATTGTGCATTTTATGTCAGATTTTTAAGAGACTCTTCCTTTTCTTCCTCCTCCTCTGCAAGCCAAATAAAATCCATTTGTGGCCTGAATCCAGCATATGGTCCCCCATTTTATTCAATCACTAGCTTAGAGTATGGGTTTTTGTTTGTTTGTTTTGTTATGTTTTTGAGACGGAATCTCACTCTGTCGCCCAAGCTGGAGTGCAGTGGCATAATCTTGGCTCACTGCAAGCTCCGCCTCCCGGGTTCATGCCATTCTCCTGCCTCAACCTCCCGAGTCGCTGGGACTACAGGCGCCCACCACCACGCCTGGCTAATTTTTTTTTTTTTTGTATTTTTAGTAGAGATGGGGTTTCACCGTGTTAGCCAAGATGGTCTCGATCTCCTGACCTTGTGATCTGCCCGCCTCCGCTTCGCAAAATGCTGGGATTACAGGCATGAGCCACCGCACCTGGCCTAGACTATGGTTTTAAGTTTTTCAGATTCTTAAACTTTTTTCTACACAGCTCTTAGAACTGAGAGGATTCTTATTTTATACTAACCAAGTGACCAAAAACTGATATGTAATTCAGAATGCCAGTTTATTAACTTATAATAGGGGAGGAGAGGGTTAAATCATCTTCTAATATTCCAAGGTCAGAGTTGTGGGGTTAAGCCATTTGGGGATGCTGGTACAAATTCGTCATGGAATGGTTGCTTGGTAACCAAATGTAATTGCATAGTCTTGAGATGTGGAAAAGCCTAAAGAACTATCCTTGGTCCTCAAAAGAATGTAACTGTCTGCAACTTTAATACTTAAATCTTACGGATTCAGGGCCTCACTTCCTTGGAAAGTACTGATAAATGCCAGCTGATTCTTGTTTTTGGATTATCTTTTAGAAAGTTTTGCTGCAGACCCTTCATTAATAATTAAAAAAACCTGGGTGAATACAACTTAATATTATCTGTTGTGTTAAATAGACCAATCAAGTAGAAAGCTATTTGAACGACAAGTAGCCGACTAACTTTTCACAATTTGGTATAGTCCTTGATTATTTATATTAATGGGAGATAGGGTTAGGATGAATAAGTCCCGGGATTTTATTTTGTAATTCTCTAAATCCTGTCCCGTTATTTTTTTGTGAGCTGCTAAACATCATTGATAGTAAGTATGGTATAATGGAAACAGCATAGAAGTGGAGTCTGATCTTGTTTTGTGATCTCTAGCCTTGTGATCTAACCTTCTTCTAGCCAATTTAAAGATTTCCTTCACTCTTTTTTTTTTTTTTCTCTTTCTTTTTTGAGACAGAGTCTCGCTCTGTCACCCTGGCTAGAGTGCAGTGGCGTGATCTCGGCTCACTGCCAGCTCCACCTCCCCAGTTCACGCCATACTCCTGTCTTGGCCTCCTGAGTAGCTGGGACTACAGGCACCCGCCACCATGCCCGGCTAATTTTTTGTTTTTTGTTTTTTTAGTAGAGATAGGGTTTCACTGTGTAGGCCAGGATAGTCTCCATCTCCTGACCTCGTGATCCACCTGCCTTGGACTTCCAAAGTGCTGGGATTACAGGCGTGAGCCACTGCGCCTGGCCTGATTTCCTTCACTCTTATTTCCATGCTATTTAAAACATACCTTCCTTTTAGTGCACCATATGAAAGTTATTTGTTAACCTGTGTGTGTTCATAGGCCTTAAGGGTAGGAAGTGTGTTTGTTTCCTACTCTGAGAACATCTTGATTCATACTGAGAACTCTGTTGTTATAGTTAATTGAACCCTATCCATCATGCATGTTTTTATTCATTGTTCTCTCATAGGGTAAACTGCCTAATCATGCCTTAATGTATGCTTCTGAATTTAGCAGCAGTGGAAAGAATGAAATGTAAAATGACTATAAACATTTACTGAGCTTTCAGTGTGATAGTAGAAAGCTGGAAAAAAAATTACTCAACTAATGTGCCACACTTATACTAGGTGCTGAGAATACAGTGAAAAAGATAAATGTGATACCTTCGTGGGTTTCACCGTCTAACAGTGATGGGAGAAAAGCCAAGATATCTTTTTAATATGCTTAAGTCTTAAAAAATGACCGAAGTATAGCATACAAAAAAATTAATGCTAAATTTAAAAATACATTAACACAAATACAATTTTTTGAAAACAAAAAAAGAACAAATAAGCAAAAAAAAAAATTAAAATAAAAATATTAACATCATATCACAGTACTGTTATATAATTAAAAATTATATATGTAAAAGTATAATTCAGAATTATAAAAGACATAAATTTTAAAAATCTTAACTTGGATCATGAAAAATGGTATGAACTTTTCCATAAGTGTTTATTGAACTACAATGTTTAAGGCATTTTGTTGGGTGCTGAGCACAAGAGGAAAAGTACTAACAAACAGAAGTATAAGACTTCTTTAAAGTAAGAGCAAGTAAGTAGCCCAATGTGATTGGAGAATAAGGTACACAGATGGAGTGATAGGCCATAAATCTATTTGGAGATTACTTGACTGCTTTACTAAGAACTTTAGATACTATTCTGTAGAAAATTGAAAGGTTTTAATGGTTTTTGAGTAGAGGAGTCACATCATATCTGTGTTTTTGAAAGACAGAAATAAAAATATAGACATTATAATAAAATTATGAAATTATGGAATATTTCCAGAGTCGTACTTATTATTCTTAATGTCTATATTAACAAAAAATGTCTAGTTTGACTAGGAAGGAAGATTTATAATGAATAATATTAATATTGAATAATCTAGAGAAAGAAAATACTAATCAACCAAAGTAAAACAGGAAAAGAAATACCAAAAATAAAACGAAAGCATCCATTACATATTTATTTAACAAATATTTGTTGACTGCTTACCTACCATGTGTCAGACACTAGCTATGCCTACATAATGGTGAGTAAAAGCATTCAATCTTTTTTTTTTTTTTTTTCTGAGACAGAGTCTGGCCCTGTTGCCCAGGTTGGAGTGCAGTGGCATGAACACAGCTCCACTGCAGCCTCAACCTCCTGGGCTCAAGTGATTCTCCCACCTTAGCCTCCTGAGTAACTGGGACCACAGGCATGCACCAACAGGCTTGGATAATTTTTAAATTTTTTGTAGAGACAAGGTCTTGCCATGTTGTCCAGGCTGGTCTCGAATTCCTGAGCTCAAGCAACGCTTCCACCTTGGCCTCCCAAAGTGCTGGGATTATAGGTGTGAGACACTTTGCCCAGCCATTTTTATTTTCATGGAATTTATGACAAAGTGGGTGAGAATAATAAAAAGAATCCTTCTAATAAGTGCAAATTACTTTGAGGCAAATACTGAGAAGAGGGCTATTTATAAGCTACTACACTTATAATAAGGGAAATAAATGAGCCTAGTTGCTGGGCATGGTGGCTTATACCTATAATCCTAGCACTTTGGGAGGCCAAAGTAGGAGGATCGTTTGAGGCCAGGAGTTTGACACTAGCCTGGGCAACACAGGGAGACTCTCTCTCTACAGAAAATAAAAATTAACTGGCCATGATGGCATCTGCTTGTGGTCCCAGCTACTCAGGAGGCTGAGGTGAGAGGATTGCTTAAGCCTGGAGGTTAAGATGACAGAGACCCTGCCTCTAAAAAAAAAAAAAGGCTGGGCATGGTGGCTCATGCCTGTAATCCTAGCAGGGAGGCCGAGGCAGGCAGATTGCATGAGCTCAGGAGTTCAAGACTAGCCTGGGCAACATGGTGAAACCCCTTATCTGCTAAAAATACAAAAATTAGCTGGGCGTGGTGGCATGCGCCTGTAGTCCCACCTACTCAGGCGGCTGAGGCAGGAGGGTCGCTTGAGCATGGGAGGCAGAGGTTGCAGTGAGCTGAGATCATGCATTGCACTCCAGCCTGGGCAATAAGAGCGAGACTCCATCTCAGAAAAAAAAAAAAAAAAAAAAAGAACCTATTTAAGAAGGTCTCAGATAAGCTTTTGCTAAGGAATTGATTCTTAAAATGAGATCTGAAGCATGAGTAGCAGTTAATTATGTCAAGAACAAATATACTAATTCTACACAAACTTTTTCAGAAAATAGAGAAGGAAATATACTTCTCAGCTTATTCTATGAGACTAGTATTACCCTGAAACCTAAGCCAGACAAAGGCATCATAAGAACATTCATTATGAATGTATGTGTGAAAATCTTTAATAAGATATTAACAAAACCAACAACACATAAAATGGCTTATCTACTGTGACCACGTGGGAGTTATCCCAGGAATGCATTAATTTGAAAACAAAGTAATGTAATATACCGTATTAATAGGATAAAGGACAATCACATATGATCTTCTCAGTAAATACAGAAAGAGCATTTAACAAAATTCAGTGCCGGCCGGGTGCGATGGCTCACGCCTATAATCCCAACACTTTGGGAAGCCGAGGCGGGTGGATCACGAGGTCAGGAGATCGAGACCATCCTGGCTAACATGGTGAAACCCCGTCTCTACTAAAAATACAAAAAATTAGCCGAGTGTGGTGGCGGGTGCCTTTAGTCCCAGCTACTCGGGAGGATGAGGCAAGAGAATGGTGTGAACCCGGGAGGCGGAGCTTGCAGTGAGCCGAGATGGTGCCACTGCACTCCAGCCTGGGTGACAGAGCGAGACTCCATCTCAAAAAAAAAAAAAATTCAATG